CAAACATTACTGCAAAATTCATCAACAATCGGATCAATACGTTTATGTATGGCTTCAACGATCGATGCAACAAACCATCTCCAAACTTCACCAATGAAATGATCTCGCACCCTACGAAGCACAAGTTAAGACAAACCTCAGCGCAGACACTTCTGTTTCTTCGCGCACTACCCTTTCTGATTTGCCAGGAAGTCCCAGAGGAATGTGAATACATGCAGCTAATAGGCCATTTGATCAATATTGTGAGAATAATAATGTCCCCCGTTGTATCAGATAATTTATTATGTCAGCTCGAAGAACATGTCAAATTTTTCGAACAAATATTTTATTCAAAATTTGACAAACGTATTAATAAGCTACACCATTTGCGACATTATACTACATGTATACGAAGCAGTATAATTGCCTCCAATTCGAACAGACCAATAAAATCGGAAAAACTCAAGCAGCTACTTGCAAAAATTTTAGAAATATTTGTTCAAGTCTTGGGAAAAGGCAATGTTTCCGAATGATAATTAACATTTTAGATAATCCTTTTTGTGATAAGTTGAACTATATTTCGGCAAAACTTGTAAAACGTGAAGAATGTCTCAGTTACCTTTATCTGGAAGAAGCTATTGAAATAGTTTTACTACCGAAAGCAGTGATCATTAATGGCATCCAGCTTCGAGCGAACCTAATTGTTGGGTTAAAAAAACATTCAAACCCATTATTTCCTTCTTATGCCATAATTCGTGAACTTGTGGTTGTTGAGAAACAAGTTTATGTTCTATTACGACACTGCTCTACAACATGGTACAACGAGTTCTTTCAAGCTTATGAAGTCGATGTCACAAGTAATGATGAACTTGTATGTATAGAAAACTGCTTCATACACACGACGTACTCATTTTGGTCAACAACACAAGACTCCAAGAAATACATTTCGAGACGGTTTTATAACCAAGATTACTAGGTAGATTGTTGAGCCTTTTCATTCCTTATTACGGCAACAATATTGTAGGTCTAATCGTCTAATTAATTATCTTTTCCAGAAAAAGAAGAAATCGACGATTTGGAGATATTTCTGGCATTGAACGAGCGCGATTTTGCCAGAATGAGCATGACAACGAAAATGATCAAAATAATTGAAAAAATTCAAACGCAGCACAAGTGTAATGAGACTAACCTTACTCACGATATTATTGAAGATGTTTCCACGGTTTCCACCGAGGAAGTTTATCAAGTTGAAGCGATTATTGATCCAAACGATCCTTATCACGGCATTAACCTCGAACAGGTAAGCTCTTATTTGACCTTGGAATGATGATGATACAAACGTAATCTTTGAACAGATCATAAACATCGACCGGATTTTTGAAAGAACTCCAAATGGAGCTGCTATTCAAGAACTATTGCGAGAAGAGACATGCATCAACGAAAAGGTTTACAAGCTCATATCGAATATACTCTGCGAATGTTTAAAATCACTATACGGATGGTGAGTTTGCATTGTTCTCTGTACTTTTTATCCAACAAAGATGAATTCACTTTATTTTATTTTTTTTATAGCCGACCGACAAACTTCCATAAAAATCAAATCGCTGCCTCACTCGTCAAAACCTATCCTATCCTGGCGGCCTCTAATTGTGACGTTCCGCAGGTGAACACTGCACTGGTTTTGGCTGCATATCAACATTTTCATGCATACATTTATTTTAGGCACTTTGGTTCCATGCACATGCTCGCGGAATAAATCGACATGCTGGTCGAATTCACTATCGCATGGAATATTTGGCGAGGAAATCAGACGAACGAGTTATCAAACGGCGTCGGATTGAGCAACCAAAGGTTAATCATCAGGAAGAGAATGCTTCTGCAGTCGAAGAGCCTTGCCTTCAAGATATCAAATTGCTGGTAGACCTGAAAATCTGTTTATTTCGGGTTAGTTGGAAATTTATTTTTCTTACGTTTTTTTTCATCAGATTCAGGAGTTGAAATTTATTGTCCCAAATCGAGCAAACAAGTTCCGTGTGGTGGAGTTATGGAAAGCGACATTCAACGATCGTGAAGCTTCTCGTTCTGAAGACGGCGAAAACACATTCAGCAACTATTTGAAAGACTTTCCGGTATTAACTGCTTACAATGGAGAACTGGTAAGAATATAGTCATCTTTTAAAGGCACAGCTAGTTTGGATGTCACTGTTTCTGTTGACGTTTCCTTCTCATACCGTTTCCCAGAGTTACGTTGCTTACTGCATCGCTTGCTTCTTGAGATGCTGCCTAATCTAGATGAACATTTCAGAAGGTCTTATCTGCATTGATCGATTCTCTGCATTGACTTTTCTCTTTCGTTAATAAATCAGCTGCAAAAGAGAATCAAAAGAGAAAGTCGATGAAGAGAACCGATCAACGTAGATAGGACTTTTTGAAATGTTTATCTAGAAATGCTTCGTAACATTTAAAAAGGCCCTATCTATGTTGATCGATTATCTAAATCGACTTTCTCGGAGCAACAACACAAAAAATGCATTTATAGATGTACATTTCGTAAGGTCCTATCTGAGTTGATCGATTTTCTTCATCGTTCCAGCTGTAAAAACAAAGGTGATGAACTAGCCAATCTGTTAAAAATCACCAAAACAAAGAAAAGAAAAAAGCTGCAAAAACATTCCCTATTGTGATTTATGTGTTGGACACTAGATAAGAGCCTCCTTTTATCAAAATATGCGGCAAATATAGCACGAAATCTGTTTGCTGTTGTTATCAAAAGAGAAAGTCGATGAAAAGATTCGATCAATGCAGATAGGGCCTATTGAAATGTTCATCCAAATTTGCAGTCACGTTATTCGCAAAAGAGAAATCGATGAAGAGAACCGATCAACGATGATTGGTCCCTTTTTTCTTTCATCTTAAATCTTTAAGGCATCTTAATAATATAATAAGCACCAGTCAATAGGCAATCACAATTACAACAGTGATGTAAAACTTTAACCATTTCAGCTTACAGATAAGCCTGGATTACGCCAAAATCAAACCTGAATCAACATCTTTCTGTGAATATTGGGAACCAATCGAACTCGCAGTTTTGGAGCACCATTCGGATCAGTTCAAAGAAATACAAAATGGTAAGAAATTATCTCGGAAATTAATTAACAACGTTAGAAAATATTCAATAGCTTGAAACAATCAATTTATTTACAGATTTCGTTCGAGCGTTGTCGATAATTCGGTCGAAAAATCCGTCAAGAGGATCAAAGCGAAAGCAAGATACTACAAGTAAGAATAACATGAAGAATAACCCGCTATCGGGCATCATAGAGTGGATACAGGTAAACAAATTGAAAATCTAAACAAAAATTAAAATAAATCTTAATATAATTAATTCAGATGGACGATGACCCTCCGCAAACTGCATCGATGATTCCTGTTTTGTACGTAAGAGGAGAGCCGTTGAAAAACAGCGAAGATTGCGTTATTCGCTGAAGCGAATGGTCCATTCCGGTTCTGGCAGAATTGAAACTTGCGTTCAACATACTTCTTGAGACATTTACTGTGCTCAATGTCCAACCAGCTCCAACTGACAGGCAGTTTTTTCTTTTTCTTCGCGGGGCTGTTTTGCATACTGCTACTCTGAGCACCACGGGAGCTAAATTTTTGCATTCTCTTTAATCATTTATCCAACGATTTTCTACATTTTCACCTGTTTCTGAATGAATGAATTTACAAAAAAAAATGTATCCCAAATAACGAAAACGCATCCAATACAAAACAAAATTAAATACATTAATTCAAACTCATAATTACGTGTTTTGTTTAATTTTATTGAGAACCCAATTTTATTCCCACGGGCTTTTGAAATTAACAATATGTTCGGTAATTTAGTTTTACAATTAGTTCAGTAAACTTTACCGATCTTTTCGTATCATTTTGACAGCTGATTTTCAATCAGAATTACGGACAGTTCGGTAATTCTAAAATTTACCGAAAACATTACCGACCGCTCAGCGGTTGAGATTTCGGTAACATAATTACCGAAGTCGGAGATATTTTCTAAGTGTGTAGTGTTGATTCAAAGTTTTAAGTTACGAAAATCAATTTTCTTAAGCCATTATCAATTTTCAAGAGCTATGCCGAAAAATCAAAGCCCAAGAAAGTTAGAAAACAGGTATTTTTACAGATAACACGTTATCTCGACGTTTCATGCATTCATAAGTCATTTGGTATAAAAAAAAATCGATTTTCGAATGGTTTGTGCGAGTAAGTTAGTCTTTCTCAGAGGCGTTTCTCAAACGCAAAGAAGATGTATTGCCTATGTACAGCTGTGATCGATAAAATAGCAGTCAATACCGATTTTCATACAAAATGGTCAATTGAGCTGAAACGTTCGCCAAAGAACTACAAATATGTTTAATGAGAGAGAGAAGGATTAGTATTTTCCATTTAATTTCACTACTTTATTTGCTTATCCTTGACAGATACGCGTATTTCGTCTACAATGTGCAGACTTCTTCAGTGTCTTGTACTAATACTCGACTAAGACGCCCACATTCATCAGGATACAAATATGTTCAATTTTACGATTACAAATATTAAATTTTTGGAAGCACCTGCCGGAAAGTGAGACACCAGGTAAAATTGTTCAAACAAAGCACAGAATTATGATGTGGCAACTAAAATTCAGGGGAAACATGTCAGAAGGGTATAACTCGAAACGTAAACAATGACGTTGAACGTCGATTTCTCTTGAATGACTACACTAGCTCATAGAACAAACATTTTTCTGTCAGATGATTTAGTTAGTTTGAGTGGGTATGTAGTCATTCGTAAGAAACTGACGATCCAAGTCATTATTTATATTTCGAGTTAGACCCTTCTGACATGTTTCCCCTAAATTACTGACCACGAGCTTTTTAGTGTTGAATATCACATCTACATCCCGTCTCGATATTTGTAGATAGAAGGTATGGTCTGGCTGTGTGTGGTTTTAAAACTCGACATTATCGATCATCGTCACTTACTTGATCTGCGGTGACGATCCTTTGTTTATGGATAAACTTTCTGCTAGCGATGCCAGTGAGCTATCGAGATCTCCTGTGAGTACTTTTCCTGGTTGCTGAACTGTTGACAATGGCTGAGCTGTTGACAATGTCGCATTGCTACCTAGAATTGCGGTTGGTTGTGAAGAAACATTTACGGCTGCTTGAACTTGACCCATATTTCCAGGTTTTAGTACGTCACCCAACGCGTCGAATCCTACATGAGCCCGTTTATTTTTTTAGGATTCGCATGTGCATGTGTAAATGTGTTTGTGTTCCATAACCGTACGGGTTATTTTGTGAAAATGTGCAATTTTGTTTTAATGTTCGATGTTTTCATCGCCAAATTATTGTTTAGTAACGTTTGGTTTGTGTATTGTATCAATCAACGGATCATAAAGATAAACAAAAAAAAAAATTGTTAGACACATCTTTAACTATATATGCGGTAAAAAATAAACAAGCAATAAACAAGTCTACACTGAAAAGCCTGAATTTATAAAGAGACGACATGTCAAAATTGGAACAATCGATTATCTGTCAAAGTCATAAGAAAAGTCATTCCAATCGAGCAGAAGACCTGTCAAATGGATAAGATGTCGCCTCTTTATAAATTCAGGCTCTTTAGTCTACACGAGCCAAGCATGACGATAAGTTAGATTAGTAATGTTAAATGTATAAATAAATAGATATAACCGAAGACAACATATCAAGATGACTGACAACTCTCCCGTTTGGGTTGATGCATATATTATGTCACGCTCTAATGGAGGAGAGGGGGTCTAAGATTTTGTGACAAGCAAGGGTGGAAAGGAAAGGGTGAACCAGTAAACGCCCTCCTCCAAAACGAAAAAAGTGACGTGAAAGCGGCACTAGTGTTGAGGAGAAAACTTAGAAGATTGCCTGAGAGGCGGTGGATATGTTTTCCGCTAGTTTGGACCCTGGAAATAACATGGGAGGGAAGATCAGCAAGCACCGATGCGGCTAGCTGATCAGTGCTTAGGGCCCATACATTAATTATGTCATGCTAAATCGAGGAGAAATTTACTCCCCCCCCCCCTAGTAACGTTTTTCTTATACCTAATGCATTGCTTGTCACAAAATCTTAGACCACACCCCCCCCCCCTCCCCCCCTACCCCGAGCGTGACATAATACATGCATCAACTCTTATTACTTGTTATGCTGATGATGATGATAAAGGTGGTGGCAGCAGCGTTCATGGTGACCGAAGATCCGTTGAATTTATGAGCTGAGAGCGTCCCGAGCAAAGGCTGATATCAAATGGAAATCTAAATAGGATGTTGTGATTTTGCTTATAATGAATCCTCAGGTTGTTGTCGTTTTGGTCGTTTTAACGGTTAAAATATCAAAATTGAGAGCAAAAAAATCTTCCTGTGACATCACATTGAAAACTGTCATTTTCAGTTGTTGTTGATTTTATCCTTATAGAGTGCTCGGATCCGTCGAGAAAAGTGTCTCGATTATTAGTGAGTGAGCTAAGCCGTATCATCAAAATGGTGGTGTACACAAAAAAAAACTTTTCCGGTATATGTGAACAACAAATCACGAAAGCATGAACTGCTAGTTCGTTTGAATTCATGACTTAGTTCCCATAAACGTGATCGAGTAAATAACATTTTCAATTATACAAATCAACATTGCCAACAAATGAGGGATTGCCTTCTCTGTCCGATAATGGTGTTACTTTGCGTTATTTAAACATCGTTTGCTAGAAATCGGCGAAAGGAGTGACAAAAGTCTATTACCGATAATAGAGTCCGACCTGTATCATTATAACGAGAGTGCCTGTAAGTAGAGTGACGACATGTCAAAATTGGAACAGCCGATTATCTGTCAATGGCTTGGGGAGCGTTATTCCAATCAATCAGAAGTTCTGTAAAATGTATGAGATGTCGTGTCATATTAATATCAGTTAATAATTACAAAAACTGTTTATTACGAATGGCAAATTAATGGCAGTAACATTCGATGGGGATTGTCTTTTATATCCATGGTGGTGTCACTTTGCCTGATTGGATGGTCATTTGCAACAAATCGGTGATGGAAGCATGAGTTGATAATCGAGTCCGACATATATTATAAAATGTAAAGCAATTACACCCAATTTAACGAAAGAATTAAAAAAACATTTAGTGTGGTTGGTTGATACAAAGAAAACTAAACTAAAATGTTAAAATTGTTAATATATGAATAAGAAACGCCACTACTTCGTACTACGTTTCGCTTCGTCATAAAATTAGTTACTCAGCGTTACAGCGCAAATTTGCATTAATTTATAATTAGAATTATTAATAACACCTATAACGGAAATAAGTTCCATAATGCGAAATAACACGAAACCCTATGAGTAAATGAATGAAAATTATGATACAGAATCAAACTTCTTACCAACAGATTCGGTGGCACCAAAAACTGATGAAAAGTTGCTATCAGATACAAAAGTGTTACTGTTACTTGATGGTGCAGCTACCACTGACGATATAACACCAGGGGTTCCATTGAATCCTATAAATAAACAAAGCAAACAAACATATTAACACGCAGTAAATACTCTGTACAGTATTGCGCATTTCACACCAAACTGTTCTAATAAACGCGTTTGCACTTATTAAACAGTGTGATAAAATTGTGAGTTTCTATCTAATCGTCTTGGTGTCTTCGGTGCACTTATTTCTTATGATGCAAGTAATAAGTGCTCCGCAGATGCTATACCGATTTGACAAAAACGTGTACTTTTATCACACTTTTTTGCATTTTTTGGGCAATCCAGTTTAAGATGCATTCAGCAATAAGGTGAGGCAAAAGATCGATCTTGATTGAAGAAACTAAAACTAAGTCCATCAAGGTTTACAACTTTCTCCTACAGAACATTTATGATTTTTCAGTTTATTCGTAGCTAGTATGATTTTTTCGGAAGAACTTTTGCCCCAAACCGTTTTAGCAATGGGGCAAACGTTCGTAAACTGTTTTGCCACTACTTATCTTTGAATAACCCATGATGGTGTGAAAGGCATAAAGAAACCACATGTTTATGCTTAGATATTGTTATAACTTGGCGAATAACGAAACCCGAGCAGAGAATTAAAACAAATGGAAACTAAATTTGATATTTTGATACAAGAGTTCGTGATAACATATTTTGTCTACCGTGTGGTAGAGTTAACAGTAATCATAACAAAAATGAGATCTAAATGTGAAGGATATTAAAATGATAACAAATCATGTTTTCTTGATAACAAATCTATGTATGCGTTTTTAAAACAGTAATTTCGTTAATAATAAACAAAATAAGTGAACAATATGTTATTATAACTATGGCAGGAAAACAAAAAATAAAACGGCAACGGCTTTACTTCCCTTCCGTTATGCCTCAGAACATCCCGATGGTGCCGACTGGGATTGAACCCAGGCCTGCTGGGGTGAGAGATTATCACGCTTACCACTACACCACCGCCGTTGACATCAAAATTCAAAATAAAAAAATGTTATTAATAAGTTTTCATTTATTCTAAATAAAAACAAACCTATATTTTAATCAATTCTATCGATATCTATCTTATATCGATTAGTAAATTAAATTCGCACGTAGATTAAATAATATCAATATATGTTGTAAAATATAACTATAAAAATTATAATTGTCTTTGTGATGTGTATAAATAAAACAGCAAGCATCCAAGATTGACTCGTAAGAAAAAAATGTAGATTTCAGTGATAAATGTGCGTGCTCTTTTCATAAAAAATCAAATTTGTTATTAATTATATTTTTTAGAAATATCAAAATAATATCAAAATATGAATTCACCTAAAATTTAAAAAAAAAGTATATCAAAATATGTGACCAATATGATTTCAAACACATAATTTGATATCATTCTGATATTATTTTGATATCCGACTTTGCTGGGGAATACACTCGAAAATAGTTGTTTTCCACAATAAATGCAATAAATCGCAAGTTTTTCAAGGCTTTGTCACATTCTGCTCCATTTATTATTGTTTAGAGTAAATATCTGCGTTTTAGACATTTGGGTTTGGGACACGACTCGAACTGTTGCCCCAGCTTCCTGATGGCATATCATAAGTCTGATGTATGTATGTAAGTAGCCACCATCCTAGCTTGGGTCTTACCCTGCATGCGGATCCTCAACAGCAAGATCAAATTTCATCATCATTCTGAATTCAACATACTGCTGTATGAAGGGTCAAAAGGGGTTGGTCGGGCTCGTAAGCAGAGACACTTACGCGAAATCCGTGGGACTAAGAGAATTTCCTTCCAACAATCCGATCCAACAAAACGAACAACAAAATTCGCTGATGACATACCAAAAGTCTGATGCTCCTAATATAAGCTTTTAAAAACGCAATCATGTTTTTTGGATAAAATTCGAGATTATATCGATTATATTATATCGAGATCGATATAAATAGTATTCTTCAGCTGCATATGTATTGTATAACAATTGCTATTGTATTGCTGTGAGAACTATCAAAATCCTATGAATTTACACAAGTGTTCGTGATATTCTGCTTGGAGAGCTGAACTGATTTTTTCTTGATGTACGCCCCCAAAGTTGGTATAAATGTTTAATATGTCCTCCCGAAACAGAAACACACTTTTGCCTATGATTCTTCGAAAACACCACCAAAATTTGTGATTTTTTGTGTGAAAGTTTGGCTCTAAAAGACCTTTCAGATAAATGCCAAAACATTGAATTTTATTTTGCACAACCATCGAAATCCTCAAATCGAATTTTGCGATTTTTACAATTCAAATTAACGCATATTTTAATGCAAACATTTCCATCGGAAGTGGTCTTAATTTTTTCCATGTTTGCTGCGAGAAGGTTGTGAAAACTATCAACGCGATTGCTAGAATCATGCTGAATTACTCTGAACCAAGCAGTAGCAAAGGGACGTCTTCTGGCTAGGGTTTTTAAAACTCTTTATTGGTTCCAAATTCAAAATAAATTACATTTAATTTTAACCTAGGTGCTTGAGCTACTACAGTAACTTACTAGCCTTAATTGTTATGATATCTATATCTACGTAGTGTTTGTACATTGTTCCTGCCTTGGCAATTCAGTATTTTAAAAAAAATACCTGCATGTCAGTAAAACAATTGACATCTTAAAACTAAAAACTAAATCTTATCTAAGTATAAAGACACTAATCGTTCCAATTGAAAATTGCAACGATTTTTGCCTGAAATTGTTAATAATATTGTTGGATATTTGTTCTAAAGTTTCGATATTCGAAATTCTATGTAACCTCGGTAGTACTGTACCAGGGAGGCAACTTCAAAATCATCTTCAGAACTTTGTTCTGAATCCTTTGAAGCGCTTTTTTTCTGGTAGTGCAACAACTAGACCATATTGGCACAGCGTAAAGCATGACCGGTCTAAAAACTTGTTTAAATATTAGAAGTTTATTCGTCAGGCAAAGATTTCCTGGTTATAACGGAATACAAACATTTTATATATTTGTTACATTTGGCTTGAATACCTACACTGTGATCTTTAAAAGTTAATTTTTAGTCGAGTACTAATCCAAGATATTTCACTTGACTTGACCAAGAAATTGGAATTCCGTTCATAGTGACTACTACTAGGTTTCAAAAAGGAAGCTCTAGGCTTATGTGTAAATATTATAAGTTGAGTTTTGGAAGCGTTGGGAGAAATCTTCCATTTTTGTAAATAAGAAGGTAAAATATCTCAACTTTTTTACAGTCTGCTGAAAATAACACGAAGACTTCTTCTTTTAGCGAAAATTCCTGTGTCATCGGCGAACAAAGATTTGTGACAGCCCTGAGGCAAATCAGGGAGGTCCGAAGTGAAAATGTTATACAATATAGGGCCAAGAATGCTACCCTGAAGAGCTCCAGCTCTAACAGGTAGTCGATCAGATTTGGAATTTTAATAATTTACCTGCAGAGTTCTGTCAGTTACATCATTTTGAACTAATTTCATAATATAGAGTGGAAAATTTAACTTATTCAATATAGCAATCAAGCGGCGCCGGTGGTGTAGTGGTAAGTGTGATTACCTCTCACCCCAGCAGGCCTGGGTTCAATCCCAGTCGGCACCGCCGGGATGTTCATAACATCTCGGTTCATGAGTTGATGGGTCGATAGGTAGGGTCCAGGTGTGGGAGCTGCTTCCTTGGCGTCGGTAGCATTGGTGCTCAGCACGGAAAACAAGATAGAAATAGAAATAGAAGAGCAACTCCAGTTGAGCAGCCTTTAGATTTGTTTGAACTAATTAAATTGGTAGCTTTTAAGAGTTGATGAGTAGTTGAATGCCCATGGCGAAATCCAAACTGCTCATCTGCAACAATTGAGTTCGTATTGATGTGAAGCATCATTCTATAAAAAAAATTCCTTTTCAAAAAGTTAAATTATTGATGAAAGCAAACTTATTGGACGGTACCTAGAAGCTTCAGTTGGATTTTTATTTGGCTTCAAAATTAGAAAATATGCCAAATGAAAACATCTGTTAAATAATTTTACAAATAAAGCCAAGGTACTCTCTGGGAGTTTTTTGATGAGGATATAAAATTCCATCATCACCTGGAGCTTGATATTCTGAAATTTTTTAGTTATGGATCTTACTTCGCCCAAATCAGTCCCCCAGGAATCACAAAAGAAAAATTCCCGAGAGAAAATATTCAGATAATCCCGAACAACCTGATCGAAACCATTCGTTCCGGGGAACGGATCAAGAGCTGAAGATTGTCGTCTATTATAATTGAATCGATTTTAACCTCGCATTTTGGTACTGAGGCAGTTCTTTCTTCAACTATATAATATATATAATAGTCTAGAGATTAAAGAGCATAATTAATTTCATCATTGGTTTACAAAGGAATATTGGATCAAAGTTATATTCGCTAAATGTTCGATATTTCTCCCAATCAGCTTATGGTAATTGAAAGTAGAGCTGTTGGGATTACAAATTATTTCTTGGGATATTTCAAATGTTACTGGAAGGTGATCAGAACCAAAGTCAGCATGGGTAACCAATTGGCTACAAAGTTGACATGAATCAGTTAAGACCAAATCAATAGTTGAGGGATTTCTTACTGAAGAAACGCATGTTGGGCTGTTTGGATATTGAACAGAACTGCAGAACAATCATCAAACAGAATATTACTATTGAAATTGCTTTGAGCATTATTCGATGAGCGGTGATTTGAATTAAAATCACCAATAATGAAGAATTTAGACCTATGGCGGGTAAGTTTCTGAAAGTCACCCTTGAGAAAACTCTTTTGCTGGCCTACGCATTGGAATGGCAAATAGTAAGTTGTCCAATTTTTGTTTCAACAGAAACTCCCAAAGTTTCAAACACTTTGGTTTCAAACGAAGAAATAATTTGATGTTTGATACGTTTAATGATGGCAACGCCACCACCGGCTCCATCAAGGCAATCTTTTCGATAAATGAAATAATTTGCGTCCTTATTTGCGGTTTAAGAAAAGTTTCAGTTATAACGGTAATATTCTTC